GGCCCCGGCTGCCGCCATGGCGGACAGCGGCCCCGCAGGGGGCGCGGCGTTGGCGGCTCCGACCCCCGGACCGGGCAGTGGCGGCCCAGGGCCCCGCGTCTACTTTCAAAGTCCCCCTGGGGCTGCGGGCGAGGGCCCGGGCGGCGCGGACGACGACGGCCCAGTAAGGCGCCAAGGGAAGGTCACCGTCAAGTACGACCGTAAGGAGCTACGGAAGCGCCTCAACCTGGAAGAGTGGATCTTAGAGCAGCTCACGCGTCTCTACGACTGTCAGGTGTGGCCCCCGCCCCCCACTGGCACCCTCAGATCGGCCCCTAGTCGGGCTGCCCGGGATCCCACCTGAGCCCGCCTGTCACCCAGTCAATGGGCGCTCGCTTCCGCGCACCCCTCCTCTCTGCTCTCCCCGCCCCAAGCCTCTTCTTTCGTGGCTGACCCTAGTCACTCCCATCTCCTCTGCTGCCTCAGACCCTGCCTCTTGCAGCCTAGCTCGCGGTTGGGTCTACCCGGGGTCTTCCAGATCCCCCAAGGGCTAACCTGGGCCCTAGGCAGGAGGCAGAGTGCGAGCCCGGGCTGACGGGGCACTGGGAGGTCTAACCGGCTTAGTGCCGCTCACCCTAGACTGTGGCTAAAAGGCGAACAGGGCGATGGAGGGGCTGAGGGTTCGGGCTGTTCCAGGGCGCTAGTCTACAGCTCCCTGTAGGTACCGGGCGGGCCAGCCCACTCCCCGGTTCTGGTTCTCCACCCTGTGACTCCCCAGTTGCTCAGAGGGTGACTCAGGCCCCTGGGGGCAGGGTGGAGGAGTGGGCCTGCCCTGGAACACTGCTGAGTCCAGACTGGGTCGCTGCTTCCTGGGGGGAGGGGTGGTGAGCGCCCCCTCCCTCAACAGAGCAGAGGTCCTTTGTTTCCCTCTGCCTAGGCCTGGGGCCTTCCCCTGACCCCTCATGCTCACATCCCACCCCCCTCCTGGGGAACTGTGACAGGTGTTTGGGGGAGGGGGCGGGGAGGGGGGGAGCTGTGCTGAATGGGGACAGCTGGTTCCACCTGTGCTCTGGTGAGAAGGGGGGACCCGGAAGTTGAGGAGACACGTCTGTTGGGTTCTCAGGCCAGGCCCCCCCTGCCCTTGCTGTCTGGCACCCAGGGTGCCCGCTGGCTGAGACAGGAAGTTCCCCCCACACCGGGCAGTTTGCCTTGGCACAAGCCTGATCTGTTTTCCTCCTTGAGCAGCTGCCGTTGTCTGCTGGGCACAGGAGACCGGCCTCATCCTGGAGGGGGCAGGGACCTTGGCCTGAGGGAGCCCCTCTCACCCCTTGCCTCCCTCCTGTCTCCCCATCCCAGGAAGAGGAGATCCCAGAGCTGGAGATTGATGTGGATGAGCTCCTGGACATGGAGAGTGATGATACCCGGGCTGCCAGGGTCAAGGTGAGTGAGGGGGGGCTCCTGCCCTTTGGGGAAGCACCCGAGTTTCATTGGTCAGGATAGGCCAGCTCTGACTTTATGCTTAGCTGCTGCTTCCACAAAAGGTCAGAGGTTTGATTCCACCCACCACTGTGTAGGATAAATATGAGTAGTCTCCTCCAGTTAAGATTTACAGCCTTGGAGACCCAGGGGAGGGTGCCAGGTCTTGGAATCCCCTCTGTGGCAGTGACTGGGTACTTGTCCAGCTGTGAGGTACAGTGACATTTGTCAGCCTCGATAGCCAGAGCCACTTGGATGTTAACTACAGACACTAAGAACTCAGCACTCATCTCCTCCTTGCCTCCCCCCTTTCCCCTTGTCCTCTTAGGAGCTGCTGGTTGACTGTTACAAACCCACAGAGGTGAGTGGATTCCCCAAAAGGTAGGGGAAGGGGAAGAGGGGCTCCTTTGTCTTGGGGTCTAGTCTCCCTAGCACCCTCTCTCCTGCTTAGGCCTTTATCTCTGGCCTGCTGGACAAGATCCGGGGCATGCAGAAGCTGAGCACACCCCAGAAGAAGTGAGTCTCCAACCCTGTGAATGGTGGCTCCAGGACAATCGCTGCCCTTCGACCTCGTAGCAACAGCAATATTGGGGCCCTGCAGCCAGGCCTGGTGCCATGAGCAGGGATCCCTGTGCCCCGGCCCAGGGGCTTCTTCCCTTGCCCCCTCAGTTTTCCATTTTGGGGGGTTTTTTATTATTATTAAAGTGATGGGACTTTTTGTGTTTTTATATTGACTCTGCGGCGCGGGCCCTTTAATAAAGCTAGGCTACACCTTTGATGCAGCTCCCAGGCTCTGCTGCTTTCTTGGGGTGGGGGTGGGGGAACACACACACACACACTCACTCACTCACTCTCTCTCACTCACTCACTCTCTGCTCTCAGCTGCTGCCAGCTAAGCACTCCCAGGTGCCTGCAGGTCTTCCTGAGGGCCAAGTAGTCATGGCGATAGCCCAGTTGCTGGTTCCCAGAACAGGAGCTGGAAATGGCTGGGGAGCTGAGGGTGAGCAGAGCAGTACTGATGTCCACAGGCTAGGGCATTCCTTTACCTCCATACACAGGCTACCTTACCCTGCCCTCTGGGCTGGCAGTGGTGACCCTATAAAGTCCAGATGCCAAAGCTATGGTCATAGTACCTCAGGATCCATATACAAAAAAAGGCTCACTCTTTGGGCTTTGAAGGGTATTTTTTTGATTTTGGAAACAGTCTGGTCCCAGCTGATGGCATTATGCCCCTGCCCCTGCCCTGCCCCATCCCAGCGTGGCTACAGTTCAGAACGTCGCTCGATTTTGAGCAGCTCCACCTCGAACACCAGGGTCGCACCACCTGTGGGGAGAGGTGAGGTCAGGTTGAGCACCAGAGCTACAGGAGATGGGCTGGATGTGGAGATAGCAGGAGGCTCTATTACCTGGAATCTTTGGGGGTGCTCCCCGATCTCCATACCCTGTGAAGAAGAAAAACCCACTGAGCCAGGCCTTCCTCCGGCTCTGGCAAAGGGAGGGAAGATGTGCTGGAGATGGGAGGGGGCTGTCAGAGGCTCAAAGGAGGGGACACAAAGGCAAATAGTGGGCACAGATATGAGGGTCTTGTCCTGTTAGACTTGGAAGAGGCAAGCACTGAATGATCACAGGGGGTGGACTCTTCTATCTAGTAGATGAACCAGATTCTGCCCCACCATCCCACAAGTTCCCCAGACCTCAGGTTTCTTACCCAGCTCTGATGGGATCACCAGCTTCCGCTTCTCCCCTTCACACATCCTGTACGAGGACACATGCTTAGCACATGGTGGCACCCAGGCTCCCTGCCCACTCATCACCACAAACCCCCATTCTGCCTCCCATAGCTCTCCCAGACCACAACCATGGCCCCTTGCAAACTCACCCCAATAGCCCCTGGTCCCAGCCCTTGATGACCTGGCCAGTGCCAAGAGAGAAGACAAAAGGCTGGTTCTGGGGCAGGCTGCTATCAAACTCCGTCCCATCTTCCAGTTTCCCCTGTGGGGTAGTGGGAAGACCAATGAGGGCTGGAGAGCCTTCCTATCCCCTTCAGCTGCTGCCCCCATCAACTTGGCCCTCACAGTCCCTGCATTGCACAAAGCCCTGGACAGCTCACAGAAGTCATTCCATAGGTTAGAGGCCAACCTGGGTGCAAACAATACAGGACAGCTACGACCAAGGAAACTGGCTTAGAAAGAGCGGTTGACTTGCTCAGGAACCCCCACCTGGTTGGTGGAGAATTACAAAATGTTCAGGTTCCCAGAAGCCCCGCCCCCTCACTCACTGTGTAGTGCATATGCAGGACATCGCCTTTGCGGGACTTGATGGGACAGTGGTCCACCCTCTTCTTGACCCCGATCTGTAGCTTCCGCTTGCCCTCGGCTCCTACAGCCGTGGCCAAGGCGCTCAGGCAGATGGGCAGTACTGCCAAGACCCAGCTCAGCTTCATGTCGCTGCAAGCACAGACCCCAAAGGACAGACAAGGAGGAGGGCGGGGCACGCATGGAACACAGGCAGGTACCCAAAGATTCCACCCCTCCCCACTGTCCCCCTGGCCGCCACACTTACCAGTACAGTGAGAAGGGACCTTGACCGAGGACCCCAGCAGCGAGGGGAGGGGGTCAGGGGAGGCCACAGCAGCCGGGGCCCCGCCCCTTTGCTCACGCCCAGACCTTCCCTCCCTCCCAGTCCCCAGCCCCACTCTTCAGTTCCCATCAGTCCCTTTGCGTAAAGTCCAGATCCTTTCTGGCTGCACGGCGGACGTGCCCACGGGGCGACTCCATTCACGCCACACCCAGCTGCCTCCAGCCCAGCACACCCACACCTCTGCGGCGGCTGCAGGGGGCCGGCCTCGAGGCACCCATACATCGCCGCTGGGAGGTTCTGGGGAGCCCCTGTCCTCTGGGGGTACCCCCCAGCCCGGCCCTGTGCCGCCGCCTGGCACACCGCCCCAACTCTGAGCCCTTGGGGGCCTCCGGGGTACCCAGACTGGCCCTGTGTCGGGTGACTGTCGAGCCCGTTCCACCCACACCGCTTCTCCTGGAGGAGTTCTCGGCCTCCCACGTCCCCAGGCCCCACCACCACGGAGACCGCCCCCGCGTGGACGCCCAGGGCCATTGCTCAAGCCCAGTCCTTCCCTTGACTCCTTGGCCCCGCCCTTGCTTGAACGTGGCCCCGCCCCCGCCCCTGCAGCCCCGCCCTCCACAGAACTAAACCCCTCCTCCTGACCAGCAGCCCCGCCACTCACAGGCGGAGAGCCGGCTCCCTGTGCCTGAGCTCCGTCCCCCCTGGATGCTGAAAACGGGGCTTCACCCTCCAATTGTTCTGGCTCCTCCTCCAAGAGCCAGGCTCCTCCCCGCACCAGGCCTAGCCCCGCCCCCAGACGCCTAGCTCCGCCTCCCGCCGGCACCAGCTCAGAAGTCCCACTGGTCCCAGTTCCACGCCCCGCCCCACGTCCCAGGGCCCCGCCCCGATCGGCGTGAAGTCCCTCCCCCTGCGGCATCCCCAGGCAACTCCGACCCCAATCTCCAATCTCCTCGTAGCCAATCCCTCGTTGACACTCAAGGCCCCGGCCCGCTCCTGCCCGACCTGGTCCAGCCTGCCCTCGTGCACCCCGCTCCCCCAGCCCGGGCTGTGGCCCCCGCTCACCTCCTCGCCGCGCCCCCGGAGTCAACCCCAGTCGCTCTACCGCCTTTGCGCAGGCGCAGTACCGTCGCTACCAGGTGGGGCCACGCCGCCCTCCCTCATTGGACCGTGCGAACCTCGCGGCCACACGCCCACTGGAGCGGCTTCGCTCGTGGCTCCGCCTCCTGCGCCACCACGTGACCAATGCACAACTTCCGGTGGGACAGTCCATAAGGTTAGGTGAAAGTGACTTCCGTGAGGCCGCAGGCACTTCCGGTCGAGGTGAACCTGAGGTCAGGCGGGCTGCTCGGGGTCTTGAGTCACCATGCTACGTGGACACCAGCTCCTGACCTCTTTCATCCCTCCTGTTTGTCCCTGAGCCACTTTGTGACTCAGTCGAATGCAAGTTTCAGCGGGAGTCCCGAGGTTAAATTCTGGATCTGCCACCGACCCTGGCTGTGTGACCTTGAATAGTCCCTTTCCCTGGCAGCATCTGGTGTCCCTGCTTTTGGTGACACTCATTCTGTGGGGCCCTGGCGATAACGTGCAGCGCTGGGCTCGGACCCTGACTCGCTTTGGTCTTTCTTCCTCTCAGAACCGAAGCCCCACCCACACAGCCTTGAGGCGGGGCCCATTTCCCCATTGGGGGATCTGGCCATCAGTAGTGCCTGGTCGACACTATTTGCCACTTGGAGTAGTCACATGCATTCGAGAAGCAGCAAAACCTAAGTTTTGAGTGTTAAGGAGGCGGCCCACTTGAGATCAAATTCGTAGAGCAGTGAGCTTTTTATTGAATAACGGCTGACCTTAGAATTGAAGGTGAAATGAGATTTGTAGAAAGCATTGTAGGGATTAAGAGGGTTTGAGAGAGGGTAGCTCCAGGGCTCCCAGTCCTCACTCAGGTGAGTTGTGAGAAAAGCAGTGACATCGGTCGTTGGGAAACCAATGAACCCTGTCTCCAGTTGTTTTCTATTAAATCTACCCTTAGCTGCCTGTGACCCTAAGATTCCTCCTGCTGCCTCCAGTCTAATGCTCAGCAGAAAGCACTCCCACTCCTGCCGCGGGTAGTGGCATCTTTGGGGTAACCACTGCCCTTGAATGCAAAGCTTTGGTTCACATAGCCATGGGCACCAGAGACTGCAGCAGGGGTTAGATGCTGAATTGGGTTGGGTCAGAGGCAATTTGGGGGAGTGCTGGCTGCTGAGGGGAGCCTCAGAGGGAGCAAGAGAAGTGGAAACCCTGGGGTGAAGGGCATCTTTATCTTGCAAACCAAGTCCTCCAAACACAGACCTGGGCGTCTTTCAGGGAAGTGAGAGTGAGGTGGGAACAGGGCTCATGGTCAAACTTCAGGGAGCAGAACACAACAGATATGGGTCGTTTCAGATTTATAATATATTCAAGTTGCAATGAACCGCACTTTTCTCGTGTGTGTGTATATCTTATCATTAATAATACAGACACCATAATATGGCACAGGGTGTAATTTGATGATGTCATACTTAGATGTTCAATGATGAGTTTTGAAAAGATACTGATAATAAAATGCAATAATGGTAGGAAAAAGTATTTGACACAAGTTAGGACCAATTTATGAGAGTCAGTGGAATTAACTCCATTATGAACCGTGGTGTACGCCGGAACTATCTGTCCTCAGCGTCCTGTCTGCTGGAGAAAAAGGTGTTCTTTTCACTATCAAATGCAGACAGACCAAACTTCTCCAGAGCCCTGACCACGGCAAGTATGCGTGCCTTTGTGTAAACAGTGAAGACTCAGAGGGGCAGCTTATTAGACACAGTAGTCCATCTCCTTCCAGAAAGGGACCCTTGTCACGAGGGGAAGTGGGGGTCTGGTCCAGAGGATAGGAGTAGGAAACAGGAAGGGGGCCCACACATAAGTGTAAGGACCTGGTATTTCTGGCTCACCTAGGCCAGCTGTGGGGTCCCGGGCCTCATATCCTCCATCTTCACAAGGGAGGAAAACAGCTCTGGTCCAGGCAGCAGCGTGGTGCAGATACTCATGTCCTGTGAGCCAACCGCACAGCAACAAACACACAGGCAGGAACTACTCCTTCCATCTTTTATCAAGATTCAGGGTCACTGTTCTCAGACCAAAGCCCATTATCAGCCAGGATCAGGGTCTCTTCTTAGGGAGGGAGGAGTCCATGTAAGAGCTCACTTTCACAAGGTGATTAAAGACAGAGAGGGGACCCTGTTCTTCCCCAAACTGGTCCAAGACCTTGATGCCTCCAAGTCTCTGTCCAGCTGTGGCCACCTGGCTGGATGTTGGCCCTTGGGAGACAAGGGACGGCAGGAGAGTTTGAGACGTCCAGGTCTTAGAACAGTGTCTGTCCTGGTCAGGTCATGATGGATGGGCTGCCCTTGTCCCCTTCCTGGGGTGTAGCCTGCGAGCCAAGTGGCTCTACTGAGTTTGAAAAGCAGTGTGTCACCTTCGCAGCTTCCGGCACCTGAGGAGGGAAGAGGGGTTTGTTCAGTCCTCTGGATGACCATCTGCGGACTCCACTCTCATCTAACTCCTAGGAAGCCCCATCTAACCTGGCCCTAACAATGATAAACCCCATGGCCGTACTGTGGAGAAATGACGACAGCACCTCAGAAAGAGGTTGTGGACTGGATCCCACCACGTCCTCTGGCCTCTTAGTGGCCATAAGGTGGCACAAATATCCACCACCAGCCTTCTGGAAAGGCCAGAGCTTTGCAAACTGGCAAGCTAACACCTTCACTTCTCCTCTAGTCAGGTGTCACCTCTTCAAGGAGATCTTCAGCTTCTCAAAGATGGGGTCAGGGGGCCCTCACCAGGCGCTGGACTCCCACCGGCCTCATCTCCCATGGAAGAGTGTGAGGCTTGTTCACACTCACGCCTGAGCCAGCAGACACTTGGTAAATATTTGTTCAACACAGTCAACAGTTTCCACTTCCCTGGCTTTCTTCCCTCTGGCAGGCACATGCTGGAGCTGCTCCAGGGCCCGTCCGGAGGCCTGTCAAGCCCCAGCCTGGAGGCCACAAGCCCCTCACCTGCAGGTGTCTGGGTTGAGCTCTAAGCCCCGCCCTTGGCAACGGAGGAAGCTGCGGCGTCGGCAGCGACAGCGGCAGGTCCGGGGTTCAGGGCGCTGGCGGCGCTGGGCACAGGGTGGGCAGAGGGGCCTGGGGCTGGAGTGGGATGGATGATGTCAGCTGGGGAAGGTGCTCTGGGGATGGAGTCCCAGCCCGGAACGGAGCGGGGCTGGGGGCGGTGACGGGGAGTGGCAGCCCTAGGAGGAGAAGCAACATGTCTGGGGCGGGAAGGAAGAGGCTTCCCAAGAGCTGGGGTCCAGTCAGAGCACATGGATTTGGGGAGCAGATGGAAAGGGGGGCAAGTTAGAAGAAAAAGAGGGAGGACACCACAGTTCTCTGACACCCACGGATGTCAGGTCCCAAGCCCACCCTGTCTGTCAGCCTGGGCTGCACCCCACCTTGGGCTCACCTGTCGGGCTTCCCAGCACTGTCTCTTTGTTTCGGTCTGAAAGGTTAGAAAGACAAATAGAAACAAGAAAAGGGAGGCTTAGGCAATCCCAGCATCCTGCTCTCTTGTCCTAGAACCCAGGCCCACCCCACCTCTCTTTCTAGAAACCTGGCCCCACCCATGGGTTCCCCTCCACCAGCACCCCCCGAGCCTGGTGTCTGCAGGCACAGAAGGTGGGCCTGGCTGGCACCTGCATTCACATTGGCTGTGCTCTTCCAGGGACATCTCCCCCAGCTGGCTGCTAGGGTACCGGATCATGAGGATCTGTGCTCAGGAGGAGGACAGGGAGACAGTGAGCAGGGCAGAGAAAGGGGGTGCTCCAGGGCTGCATGGGTAGCAGCCCGCCCAGCAGCCAGGACCCGGGGCCTCCACACTCCCTGTGCCCACCTGCCGCAGTACCTGCATTCGCACTTGGTGTTGGCCTGTGGGCACGCACTCCAGGCCGTCGTCGGGGCAGCAGCCACCACAGCGGTGCACAGTCACACAGCTAGGCACAAGCTGCTTGGTCACAGTGCCCATGAGCTCCACTGTCAGGGGCACTACCACCTCCCGTGGCTGGCAGGCGGCGCGGGCGTATACGTCGATCCATGATACCACTGGGGGCAGGTGGGGAAGGGCTGAAGCTTGCTGGGATTTCCTGTACCCCTGCCCTCCTCCCACCCAATAAATCTGAGTTTCTGCATCGTGGCCACTTCCACCTGCCTCCCCCTGCCCTGGCTATCCAGAACCCAGGAACCCCACTGCCTCAAGTCTTTCCTGCTCGGTAACATTTCCATCTTGTATTGCAGACAGAAGAGGACAGAAACACCATGTCTGGGCTTGTACCAGCCCACTCTCATAAAGTTACTGACCCCTCTTACCTTTCTTCTGGTGACTAGGGGCATCAGGCTGGGAAGCAGGGGCCTGTGGAAAGGAGACCTGAGATGGGGGACGCCCCTAGACCTAGGTGTTCTCTAGGAAAGGTTGGCCCCATTGCTGTCCCAGGGTTCTAGCCCCCAAGTCAGAAGGCTTTGCTTTGATGCTGAGATCATCTCAGGTTTCTCTGTGTCAGTGGTCCTTGATTCACCTGGTCACCTGGGACTTTCTCTGGCCCATACCCCACCTGGCATGCTCTGTGGGCGACGCTGAATCTAAGCTTTGGGGCTGGCCTTGTGCTGGAGGCCACAGGTCAGGGACAGGCACAGTGGGCAGCGAACTAGGTCCTGCAGGCACCAAGGTGGCTCCGCCCCCAGCTGCTCCCAGGGGACAGGATAGGATGGGGGAGTGGCCCTTGGTTGGGTTGGTGGGGCTGACTAGAGGGGCGCCTCTTGGGATATACCTGGACCCTGGGATGCCCCTGTCCGGACCGGACCCTGTGGCTCCCCAGCCAAGGCGCGGTACCTCTCCACTTCCGCCAACCTTGAGAGGGCACGGCGGGCAGCGGGGCTACACGTACCTGGGCGGGGGCCAGCTGCAGGAGCGTGGCAAACAGCAGGCGCCGGAGCAGGGGGCCCATGGTGGCCTTGGGGGCCGCACTCCTGGGGCGCCCGCATCGCCCTAGCCTGGCGGCGCGGGGTGCGGCGGCAGCCACAGACCCATGGCGCGGGGAGCAGGGGCCGGGCGAGGGGGGCGCCTCCTCCACGGCCCCCTCCCAAGTCCCGGGCACCGGCAGAGCAGCGGAGGAGCGGCGGTGGTGGCGGGAGGAGCTGGGCGGGTGGGCAGCAGGCGGCAATAGTGGGGATGGTGGGGGTAGTGGGGGGCCGGGCTGGGGCTGGCGAGCGGGCAGCTCATGTGACCCGGACACGCGCTCCCCACCCGGCCCTGGGACGGGGGCGGGGCAGGGGCTGCGGCCCGCCCTCCACACGCCTCCTCCTGCTGCAGTGGGACAGACGGGCAGGACCGCCCAGGAGGCCGGGCTCCGGGGTAGCCAGAAAGGGAGGGCTGGCCTGGGCCCCAAGACGAGGTCCAGCACTGTGCAAGCTCAAAGAGGACTGGACAGGAGCACTGAAAATGACTTTATTGCAAGAGCTTGGGGGGTGCTGGGAGCCTTGGGAGAGAAAGACTGAGGGGAAACCCAGCAGGCGCCGTCTAGGCGGCCCCTCAGGGACCAGAATCTGGGGGCGCGATCTCAGGGTCCAGGGATGGCTGCTGTCTCTGCGCTCGTTCCTGTTGAAGTCTGGTTCTGTTGGCCCTGCAGAGGAAACATCCACTGGCTGGAGTGTGTGTGGGGGGGGGGGGGGTACTGGGGGTGCTGAGAAAGTGAGGACAGGACAGAGCAGGGACAGACCTGGCCCGAGCCCTCGTGTCGTTGTAGATGGCAGTGATGATCCGATCCTTTTCATCCATGAAGTTGCGGTGCATCTGCTCCAGCTTCCTACAAGGGGTTACTGTGCACCCAAGGGACCCCCAGGTCCTGCTCCCTCCCATGCCACATCAGGGTCTCACAGCTCTCCATATGGGAGATGTCAGCCTAACCCTACCTGTGGTGAAGAGGAAAGGGACCCAGTGGGGGCCAGGACCACTCCAGGGCTCATCGGTGACTGAAGGCCCCAGCTGGGGCAAAGAGCTCTAGACATCCTTGCCGGAGACTCAAAAGGTGGTCCATCTGACCACACCCCTGAACCAGGTAGGCTGCTGGGGTCTGTGAGTGTCTGCTGTGAAAACCACGGCCTCAGCTGAGTGAAAGTGGGGGGTTCTCATCTGGCTGAATGCCTCCGAGTGAGCGAGGGAGGCTGCGCTGGCCAGGACCAGCAAGAATGCATCACGTTCTTATGATTTTGGCTTGCTCCAGTGCCTCCTGGCAGCTGGCACCCAAGCATTACATTCAAATTATAAAAAACAGAAAATGATAACGTTAGCCATCAGTGCCTCTGCCAAGCAAGAGGCGGCTCCAGAGAACAGGCTTAATGAAGTTCTGCGCTTGAGGAACACAGGGATGGAGGCCTTGGGGATGGCCTGCTGACCTTACAGCCTGCCCTGCCCTGCCCTCCTGCGCACACCCACCATCTGAGGAGGCAGAGCGCACCTGAAGGCAACGTAGTGCAGGACCATGCCTGCCAGCATGAACAGGAGGCAGTATCCCAGCACCTGTTGGTTGTGTCTGCGTAGCCGCAACCTGGCCTCAGGCCCCTGCGGTGTCGCACGATGGAACTGGGCCCAGTACTGTGCATTGGGTGGTTCCTTGGAGCTGCTGGGAGAGACAGAGGGACAGTGTGGGTGGGGATGAGGCTCACCAGACTTGGGGGAATGAGCTGGGGGTGGGACTACTTACCTATGTGCCTGGTAGGAAGGACTGCGATAGGCTGCAGGCCCCGAGGACTGCGGGGGGCTCCATGAACGGAGCTGGTGGTCATAGTTGCGCCGGCTCTGCTCATGGCTGAGCACGCGGTAGGCCTCGCTCAGCTCCACAAAGAGGTTATGTAGGGCTGGGTTCCCCAGGTCCCGGTCGGGGTGCAGCTAGGGTGGGCAGGAAAAAGATGAGGGGAGTGCTGCCTCATCATCTCCATGATGTCCACCCACAAAGGCTCATATCACTTCCAGAGGCCCTGGCCTGCAGTGTGGCCCTTGAATTCAGGTCCATCCACCCCATCCACCCTGCTCTCCTCGTATGCCCCAGTCCAGGTCTTCTCAGTCCACAGTGAACAGGCATGTCAGAACCAATCCCAGGCCTTGCGACAGGGAAGATGGTGATAGTCTTCAAGGAGTACCTAGTTCTGAGAATTTGAGCGCTCACTCCCCCATCTGGCTCGGGCTTCCCCTGCTTCTCTTAGCATCACAAGTACCTCTTTGGACTTGGTGAAGAAAGCTCGTTTAATTTCTGCAGGGCTGGCTCCGGGATGCACACCTAGTAATTCATAGTAGTTACTGGGGCCAGACCTGCGGGAACCCAGGAGATACTCACTCCTTACTGTACACCCAGCTTTGATGGGCCACACCCACTCTCACTGAGTGAGCAGGGAGACCCACACATTCAGCCTTCAGGGCTTCTTCCTTGAGCTTGTTCTGAGCCTCTGAGCCATCTGCCCAGAAAGACATGTTGGAGGACTGAACAAGTCCCTGGTCCTCTACACTGGGCATCCCCAAAGGGGATGAGGCCCTGAAATTTCCAGGAGTCCCCATCTGGCCCAGCCCCCCAGGTGGGCACCAGGCTTCTTTGCTGGTCCCAGCTCTTGGAGGCTGCGGGGCTGAGGCAAGCCTAGCTCCTAAATCCTCTTCCCTTTGAGTGTTGCAGGCATAGTACAGACCAGATCCTTGGTCCCTGCTGAGTATGAGCCTCAGACTCCTTGCATCTGAGAGACCCAAAGACCTTCTTTAAAGAATCCAGATTCCTGAGCCCACCTTGCTCCTCCATCTCCCAATCTCCAGGGCGGAGCACAGGGATGTGCTTGCACTGACCCCCTCTCCAGGTGGCCTATGTGCAGCAATGGTTCACAACCACGTGTTGTGGAAAGCACACAGGGCTTGAACAAGTGGGATCAGGTAACTTAATCCTCCGTGTCCTCATCAGTGACAAGCCTGAGACAAGCCAGTAAGGAACGTGGCGGAGTAGGGACGATGGCCATCGTCTGAGACCGAACGCAGGGGGTCAGCCCTAACAAAAACCCACTCAACGGCTGGGCCGGACTCACCGCTGCCCGGCGGCCGCTCCGAGGAGCCGGGTGGGCGGGCTGCGGGGCCACAGTCGACACAGACGCAAGGGCAGCAGGGGCAACATGATGGCGGGCGAGCAGCTGGGGAAAGGAGAGCGGAGTGCATGGAGCCCAGGCTCGCGCCGGACTTGAAGCACTTCGGGAAGGGGCCCGGTCCGGTTTTCTTGCGAAGGAAAACTGACGCAAACACGGGAAGCCCAACGGCGGTAGTGCCTTTCCGCTCAGCGGCCCTGGGCCTGTCCCCAGCTCTGACCCAGGAGTCCAGGAACCTGCTCTGCATCACTCCCGGGGCCTGAACCGCTGACCTAGCCACCGAGACCCTCTCCCAGATGCCCCAGGAGGGGAGGAGGGCGCGGGAGGGGCCCCGATCTAGCCCCGCCCTCCCATCTAGCCCCGCCCCCACTGTGCTCACGGACCCAGCTGCCATTTCCTAAGTCCACCCGCCCCGAATCCCCATTGGCTTAGACATCAAGACCACGCCCATCACCCCGGAAGGGGCGGGTGGCCGAATGACACATCTCTTGGCCCCCGTACACCTATTGGTTTTTGAAGCCGTGGGCCCGCCCCCAGAAGTCCGGTTTGCGGGTATGAGAACTCGCGACCAAACCAAGCCTCTAGGCTGCTTCGCAGCCTAACCTTCAGTGACTTTCCCAGGCAGCTGCTATCGTTCTGCCCCACAGACATGGTTGCTCGGCGCCTCACACAGAGCAGACTCCCACCCCACGGCGGGGAAACTGATTAAGAACACTGCCACTGTGGTCATCCCGCGTGCAGATGGGGACACGACACTGGCTGTCTCATTTTGGAAGTTTTCTTCCGAGTCATTTACCTTGCTTTCTCCTTTCACCCAAGGTTCATCTAGAGGTCTGTGTTTCCAGGAAAGAACGGACACCAATAGAATTAAAGAATAAAGTCTTTTATTGTCTTCAGAGCTGTGGTGATAGGGCCGGGGACTCGCAGGCGCTGCCCTGGAGCCGGCTGTACAGGAGGACGGCGCCTTTGGCTGAGGGACAGAGCTCGGTCCAGATCTCGGCCTCCTGCAGCCTCCGGACGCTCTGCGGGGAGACCCGAATGTCCAACTCTAGTCCTGGTGTCTCCTTCCTGTACGAGCCGAGGTTTATAGAACCTCAGAGCTTCCTGCCCTACACTCTCCCCGGGAGGCATGGCGAAGGGCTGGGAAGGTCCTGGTCCTCCCTCTGCACCCTAATGAGGCCCTAAGAGATGGGAGTCCTCATCTGGCCCCACTCCACCTCTGGACACCAGGCCTCTTTGCAGCAAGTCCCCAAGCCACAACACCCTTGGCCCAGGCAAAGTAAGGTTTGTCACAACGCACCTGTGTTTCCACAAAGATAATTCCTGTGGACTCGTGGGCCTCGGGTCCCCCACTCAGGTAGTGATTCCTCACCTGCTCGGAAGTCAGGCTACACCTGGATGACGACAGGAGGCTGGGTTGGTGGGCTGCCAGGCCCTCCTTGTGGCGCTCCAGCCACCTCCCTACCCCATCCTGTCCCAGCTCACTCACTCCACAAAGAACTCAGCACTCGCTCGGCCGGCGCTGGTCTCATTGCAGGCGATGCCCAGCAGCAGGGGCTTGCTCAGGGTGAGCGGAGGCAGGTTCACCTGGAGGCAGGGATCCCACCTGTCAGTGCCTACCCCTCTATGTGGTGCACAGCCCCTTACCTTGGAACGGCATTTTACAGTTTGTAGGTCAAGTGGACAGAATCATAGAACCTGAGATCCTGCGCCTGTTGGGGTTTGCAGGCGGGAAACCAACTCAGAGAGACTGAAGGGTGGGCCTGGACCACCCAAGAACTGGAATTCTGATTTCCTCCTCTTCCCACAAACCCAGGGAGCCCAGCTGCCAAGGCAAGTGCTCCCCTCAACGCTGATCTGAGGCATTCTGACATGATCTGTTCCCCCCACCCCTCCCCCACACTCCCACCTCCCATAGGGCCACCTCCTCACTTCATCACAGATCTCCTGCAGGACACTGGAGAAGAGCTCACGCACCACCAGCGCCCCAGGGAGGTCCTCATGCCGGGGGCTGTGACCAGGGCACAGAGTCTGCAAGAAGTCAAGGGCAGACCCTTTTCTGACCCTGTCCTCCCACCAGTACTTGCTGACTTGTGACCTGATGTGTGCAGGGTAGAAACACTAGTGATCCCCAACTGTGTGTGTGTGTGTGTGTGTGTGTGTGTGTGTGTGTGCGCGCGCGCTGTCAAATCAGATCTGACTGGTAAAGGAGGATATTGCCCCTCCTTCTCCAGCAGAGCATCTGGTGGATTCGAACCATGGACCTCTGGGATTGCAGTGCAGCTTCTTGCCACTAGGCCACCAGAGCTCCCTCAACTGCCTTTTTTAAGATGGACAGCCAGATCCTCAGCTGGGGACACAAGATCACACAGATTATCTGCATGGAGTAGGATGTCTCTCTCACCCTCTCCTCTCATTGCCCAGCATCAGGAAGGTCTAGGGAGGAGTCAGCGGTGAAGCTGAGGGGTTGTCTGGAGCAAAGTCCCTCAGAGGAGCAGCAGACTGACCCCACACAAGTTACTCATGGATTACCACCTGCATCCACCCAGCTCAGGCCCCAAGACCCATTTAAGGGACGATCTGGGGTGCTCAGAACTTTCCTAAACGAGTCAGATCTTTATACCCAGCCTCACATCTCACCTGAGGCTCAGGGTGACCACCAGGCACGTCCACCATCCCAGGAGCCTCGGCCACCTGCCGAGATCGTCGAAGGAAGACAAGGAAGTCATCTGCAGTGGCCAACGCAGCGCCCACCCCTAGTGGATCGGCCAGGTAGGCCTGTTTGTCACCCCAGTCGACAGCCCCTTGATGTCGCAGCCAGGCAGCTGAGCTGGCCCAGTTGGTGCCCAGGAAGTCTCGGTAGGAAGTGAGGCCCAGATGCAGGAGCAGCTGTGGTTCTGGAGAGCCTGTGGGCGCCAAGGTGGCCGAGTGCAAGCGGAATTTGGGGGCATCAAACAGCCATGGCTGGGCCTGTAGTCGGTTCTCCCAGACAGTAGTGATGGCCTCGTCCCCACCGGGCAGTGGGCGACGATCATAGGCTGGGCTCAGTTCAACTCGCACCTGCTCTTCAAACAGCCCACCTCGGGGGCACTGAAGCAACAAAGACACCTCGGGGTCCATGGTCTGGACAGGGCAGCTCTGGGGAAGGACACAGCAGGGTCTGTCACTGCCAGGATCACAACCACATAGCCACCTCTGAAAGTGGCAACCAGCCCTCTCAGTCACAGGCCTTCTGAAGACCCCAGCCCTTCTGCACTCTCATTGCCACTCGCTGGGCAGTGAGTGTCCCATCATCCCTGCCAGTACCCAGAGACCCAAGCCTCCTACTGCTGGCCTCCTGGGACTCCTGGGGTACCTGTCACCCCCAAGTGCCTAACTCCCCAAAGCCCAAGAGTCCTGCCTCCTCCCCTGCGTCGCCGACACCCTCTCCGGGGTCCGGAAGCCCCCGCCTCCAGCCGGCACCCCTGGTCTTCCCGAGCCGCGAGCCACGCCCCCTCCGGGACCGGAAGTTCCCGCCCCCTTCCTCTGCGTCCCCTATTGGCCAGGCGATCGCGCCTTGCGGGGTCAGCTGCCCAGTCGGAGGGAGTGGTGAGCCTGTGTGGTCAGCCTCGTCTGTCCGTTCTGTCTGTCCGTCTGTGCCTGCCGGCTCTGATGCTTCCGTCCTGGTAGCCTGGACACCAGCAGTGGGCCGGCCTTGTCTTGGCCAGCCTTGCGGGGAGGAGTCCCGAACCTGGAGCGCAAGAGCTCGGCTTACCGGCTGGCACTCGGTGATCTTGGCCATCTGGCCTCAGTTTCCCTATCTGTACCGTGGATTTGGGGGTGGGAAGTGAATTTCATGATTTCTCTGACCTCTCCCAGCTCTGTGACCTTCTGGGCTGGCTGGAGACACGGGTGGGTCGTTAAAGCAGTTCCCACACAGGTCCTGGCCATGAACCCTCCTGGAGGAAGGAGGCAGGAAGCAGCGGGACCCCGGGCTGGAAGGACTCACAGACCCCGCCAACAGGTGCGCGCCTCGCACCCATGCCCTCACGGTGGGGAGCAAGGGAAGGCATTTCTGAGTCCTGACTCCCCAAGAAATGCAAGTAGGGTGGGGGCCAGTGGGTTATTGTTCCCGAGCCCTGTCTCCCTCTGAGCTTAGGACAGGCAACAGGGCAGGATCACCATGGGGACCACCCTGGAACCACCTGTGGGCTCTTTCAGGATCGTGATGTGCAGCTATCCAAGGCTCTGTCCTATGCCCTGCGCCATGGGGCCCTGAAGCTGGGGCTTCCCATGGGAGCAGGTAAGTGAGGCACCTGGAGGCTTGTCCACGAATAGGGGCTTGAAACCCTGGAGCCTGTGGCTCTCCTCTCCCATGGCTCATGGCCTGTGAGAAGGGCGTGGCAGGGCACAGCCTTCCCATGCACTGAGAAGACAGATCCGAGATGGCAGTGCCCAGAGCCACATTACCTGTTCCCCATCACATCAGGGAAACTGATGAGGGGCCATGTGACTCAATAAACTAATCCCAAGGCTGGGCTCTGGAGGACATTGAGGTGATTGATACTTGGTGTCCACACCCGGCGGAGTCCTATGTTGAACACTTCAGCTTTGTGCCCCTCCATGAGGTGGGTAGGATCCCCATGTAAATTCCAGAAAGTAAGGCCCAGAAACAGGAGACATTCAAGCCCACAGAGTCAGGGACAGACACAGCCCTGTGGACAGAGGGAGGGCAGCCTCTGAGCACCCTGCCTGCCCACAGACGGCTTTGTGCCCCTGAACGCCCTTCTCCAGCTGCCCCAGTTCCACAGTTTCTCCACTGAAGACGTGAAGCGTGTGGTGGACACCAATGGCAAGCAGCGGTTCGCCCTACAGCCTGGGGACGCCGGCACTGGTCTGCTCATCCGGGCCAACCAGGGCCATTCCCTGCAGGTGGGGGTCCAGGTTCCAGTGAGCCAGCCAGGCAAGGCCTTTGTCCACAGGGGCTTCACTGCTGCTCATCCATCCACCCATTCCAGGTCCCTGAGTTAGAGCTGCTGCCTCTGGAGACGCCACAGGCCCTGCCCCCTGTGCTGGTCCATGGGACATTCTGGAAGCACTGGCCTTCCATTCTGCTCAAGGGGCTGGCCTGCCAGGGAAGGACACATATCCACCTTGCCTCGGGACTACCTGGGGACCCTGGTGTCATCAGTGGTCAGTTCCATCCCTCACCTCTTCCCTTCCAGAGGTTGAAGCATCCCTAGTTTGAGGCCACTCTGTGGTCAGCATGCAGCTCCCACATGCCTCCCCACCACACTTAGCTGGGGCCCCCGCCTGCTGTGGTCAACTCCTAGGCCCCAACTCTGGCTGTCTCTGCAGGCATGCGGCCCAATTGTGAAGTGGCTGTATTCATCAATGGACCACTGGCCTTGGCAGGTGAGCCTGGACATGGTGGGGACACCCTTTGGCCTGTCGGAGGGCAGTAGTCACACCTCAGCTTTCATCACAGATGGAATCCCCTTCTTCCGTTCTGCCAATGGGGTGTTCCTGACTCCCGGGAATGCTGATGGCATCCTGCTTCCCAAGTACTTCCAGGCGGCCCTGCAGCTGTGCCCCACCCGTGAGAGTCACCCCACCTCATGTTTTCAGTGCCTGTCCCCAGCTTCTCCTCCAGCCCTCAATGTCAGTCTTGTCTCCCTGTCTCCAACCGTCGCTCCTCTCTGTCTCACTCAGGAAAGCCCGTCTCCTTGTCTGGTGATGAAAAGACAAAGTGTCAGACTGGCCCCAAGCACAGCTCTAGAGAAAGAGGAATGGTCCCGCAATAAAATATTTATTATTTAAAGATATTTTAAAAAGACACTTGATTGGAAAGAACAGATTCTCTCCTGGCGTGTTCAGTGAGTAGAGAGGTGGGGGATACTGGTCTTGGCCACTCCAGCAGTGAAGGGAGCAGTCTACTCCCTAAGCCAGGATAGTGGCAGACCGTGGACCGGTCAGGCCTCTGCTCCACACCAAGCCAGGGGGTGGCAGGTGAACAGCGTGCCTAGAGAGGGCGTGGGCAGTGAGTCCCTGGGGACGTGGCCGTGGGCGGTGAGGCAGTTCTAGAAGGCCTCGTGGCCCCCTGTGAGCTGCAGGAAAAGGTCCTCGTCCAGCTCCTCCCCGCGGGCCTTCTCCCGCGTCGACAGGAAGATGTAGCCCCCGATGTACTCATGCACAATACGGCAGCTGGCAGATATGCAGCTGAAGGCCACGTTGATGTGCTCGTCAAACTCGATGGCCACCTGTGTGTGGGGGGCAGTCAGAGGGCCACGGAGGGGACACAGGAGCAGCCCAGCACCTCCCTGCCCTGGTGGGTCAGGCCCCGCCCCGTGCCCACCTGCCGGATGTCCCAGTTGACATTCCACTGACGCATGTTGCTGAAGCGCCAGGTCTTGACGACATCGCCCACAGCCAGGTCAATACGGATCAGCCGGTTGTTGGCAATACCCAAGATCTCGTCTTTCCTGCTGCCCTTGAACCTGGTCCAGGGGTGGGAGGTGAAGTGAATGTGAGCAAACCCCCACCCAGGGGCAGAGCAGGCAGCAGCTGAGCTACAGTCATTGTCCCGCTCAGCGGCCCCCAGCTCTGTGATTCTGGGCTACCAGCTCCTTTGGAGAATGGAGGGAAAGAATAATCACGACTGCATTTAGCAGCCTCAGGCGCAGCCCCTGACTTTAAGTAACATTTCGGCTGTTTAGCTTTATGTGCTCTCATCTTCCTTAGCTGCCTTGAGAGAAGCAGGAGTCATGGGGGGCGGTCAGCCCGTCCTCCAGACAAACTAACAGAGACCAGAGGGGACGGTCCCTGGCAGAGCCAGGACATAGCCAACTCTCCTGCTGTCTATCTCTTGGATTTGCTGTAGGGTGTATGGAAGAGAGTTTGAGGGTTACACCAGACCCTGCCAGTGCGGTTTGCCCACCGGAAGCGGGGCTCCTGGAAGGTGGGCCATACCTGACCAGCACGTAGGAGATGCCAAAGTCAGGCAAGGATTGCCAGGCCTGGATGAAACGCAGCTGGGCCTCGGGCAGCGAGAGCTGGGCCACGTTCTGGTGGGCTTCCAGGATCCTGGGGGTGAGCTGTGGGAGCACCCTGGTGAAGGGCTTCCAGGATTTTGTCCCCTCCTCCAAAAATCCCCACAGACCCCCATCTGCCCCAGTCAAGAGCCAGTCACTGAGCTGGGAAAGAGAGGTGCCCACTGCAGGGTCTTCTCACCCCCCCAGCAGGTGGAGCCCAGCCAGGTCCAGAGTGAGGGTGGGCCCTGGAGAGTACAGGAGGCCACACATGGCAGAGGGACAAGTAGGAGAGGGAAGGAGTGGGCCAAGGTGGCCAGGCCAAGGCGATGGTCATTCCCACCTGTTTGGCCTTGAACTTGCGCTGGAAGCGGGGAGCGACGAGTCCATAGGGGTTGAGGCCCTCCGTGGAGGCGTCGGGGCCCTGGGGGTTATTGCCTGAGCCCCCACCGCCAGTCCGCTGCAGGCTGAGAAAGGCCAGGATGGCCTGGACCTCGCTGGTGTAGCTGCTGTCCGCCATGGTGCGGCCCTTGGCGGCCAGTCGGCAGCCGGCCATCCAGTGGGCATACTGCTGCTCCTGGGGGAGACGGAGCAGGAGGGCTGCAGGCTCTGTGCAAATCACCACCCCTTCACCTGCTCAGCTCCTGCGTGACCCCTGGCCCAGCGTGGTCCCCCACCCTGCCCCAGCCTCACGCACGTCCTGGCACCGCAGGTGGATCTCACTCATGCCCTCAGGGGATGGCACCAGGAGTTTGATGCAGAATTTCTGTCCCGAGACATTGACATCAGGGACCACCTCACAGCCTGGAGCGAGAGGAGAAGTGGGTGGGGAGGAGGGACCAGCTGCCACCCAAGACTTCCAGCAAAGCCACCCCGAGACACACAGCATCCTCTCTAGGACACAGGTAAATGAGGCTGCCTGAGGCACTGAGCTGCCCAGCTCTCGGGAGTCTGTGGGGACCTTGGTCCTGGCCTCCAGTCCTCACTCACCCTTGAGGTTGAGCTGCTGAATGGGGTCTCCAGGGGCCTCGTCCTGGCTCTTGTAGTATGACAGGGTGGTCTCCTTGAACACTACCCAGTGCTGGCGGTACCCCTTCAGGGTCAGCTTCCTGGGCCTGGGGTGCAGGAGGTCGGTTTGCAAAAGGCCACCTCCCTCCTGCCCCTTTCCCAACCAGCTCCGTGGCAGGCTGCCTGCTTTGGCCAAAACTCACCGGAAGATCCGGAGATGGTCTTTGAGTTCCGGGATGGTGGTGAGGCAGTCCTGGGGTGGGAGGCATGTCAGCAGGAGGCCTGGGCCTCCTGCCGGACACTGACCCTACCCCCTGACCTGAGCCCCTCCTCACCAGTACATCCGTGGGCGCCGACCCCTCCAGCTTCACCTCCAGGTTGCTCAGGGCTGCGTCCAGGTCATCCAGCCCAGCGTCTGTGGCCGGCCGCTCTTCCACCTCCCCACTCTGTGACAGCTTGTTGACGTGGTACTAGGAGTACAAGGGGCTAAGGTGGCAGCCCGTGTAGCCAACAGGCTAGGCTAGAGACCAGGCCCACTGAGCTAGCCCTGCCGGCCCACCCACAAGCACCCGGCCAGGCCCGCTGGACACCTGCAGGGCCGCGAACACCATCATTTCCTCCTCGGTGCAGTCTGTCTCCTCCAGCAGCAGGTCCCACCGCGCCTGCTCGTAAAGCTGCGTCAGCCGCACGGGGTCCATCTGCAGGGGGGTGGGGGGCCGGCTCGGTCAGACCCCACCTGCCCAGAGCATCCTGCCAGCCTTGCTCTCCTCCCTGGAAATCTCAGTCAACGTCCCCCACGTGGGAGCAACCCCAACCCCAGCCTGGCAGCACGCCCAGCCCACTGCCTGAACAAACGACACTAAACCGTCCGCCACTTGTTCAATCAACAAACTCCCCACGTGTGCCCAGCACTCAGCTGAGAGAGCGAGGGGGCGTGAATGTGAACCAATGGATTAGTAAGTGAGTCGAGTTCTGTGGACTCAGTCCGCTCTCATTTGGAGGAAACATGCAAACATGCTGAAACCAGGTTGTTAGTGGTTTGGTGGAGGAGGGGGATCACTGCTGGGGCTGTGGGGGGTGCTGACTTTGTTGACGGTGGGAGAATGATTTGGTAAAGGATGACAGGAATTGTAATCAGTGTTACTGGACTGTCCCTGTGGAAGCTGTTGAGATGGATTTACATCTTTATCACAATCAAATGGGGGAAAAAACAAAAGGCGCAGTTGAACTTCTACAGAAAAGAGAAAAGATCAGGGTAGAAGCTCTGTGGTGGCAGCTTATTCAAGCCCTTGGGCAAGACCACAGCGAATCTGAGGGTGATGAGGCCAGGGGAGGAGGGAAGGGGGGTTACTCTGCTGGAGAAGTCAGGGAAGGCTCCGTGGAGGAGTTGACATAAGGGTGTTCACTGAAGGATGACAGTGGACCCCTGGAAGGAAGAGTGATACAGGAAGAACATTCTAGAGAGAAAGAACAGGGAGTGTGAAGGTCCAAAGGAGACCAGTCACCCACAGGGAGTCAACCCCATACTCCTCTGAATCCAACCAAAATGGATTGTTGTGTACTGAGTTGTGGGTTTTCAAAGGTGGTAAATTGCATGGGAGGAGACCGTCTATCTTTCTGCCACGGAGCAGCTGGTGGATTCGAACTGCTTACATTTGTGTTGGCAGCACAGTCCCCTACCACTGAGCTACCAAAGCTGATACCAAAATGGACTCTAAGGGCATAAAAATAGAAACTCCAAAGGACAAAGAAGAGCAAGGGGCAACAGCAGGTAAGATGTCAACACCTTCCAGACGACAGAAAGCAAAAGTATGGATGGGAGGTGAGTGAGGAGGCAGAGAGCTGCGATCCCACACCTCCTCCCTCTCCTATTTCGTGTTAACAATCATGGGTTTAGAAGGCAGGCAGGAGGGAGCTCTGGTGGCCTAGTGACAAGAAGCTGCACTGCAATCCCAGAGCTGCGTGGTTCTAATCCACCAGATGCTCTGCTGGAAAAGGAGGGACAATTTCCTCCTATACCTGTCAGATCCGATCTGACAGCACATGCGCAATAAAAACATAGAAGGCAGGCAGAAAGCAAAAAGAACTAGAACTTAAAAAAAAAAAAAAGAACTAGAACTTGAACAAAGACACCCAGTTCCCTGGGCAGGCTCTGGACTTGGACTCCCCGGATGAAGGACAAGGGTGGGCTGAAATGAGGACCAGTGGGGGCGAGTCTGTCACAGGAGCAAGTCCCTCCCTAATTCCCTGCAGTCATTGGTGGCCCTCTGGCACCTGAGATACTAAATGCAGGAGGGTCACCCCTGGCACCCCAGGCCCAGCTAAAATCCACAATGATGACAACAGATGAATTCAAACAAGGTTGTGTTTTGAAGGGCAGCACAAGTCCCAGCTCTTCCCCACTTGTCGCCCAAAAGACTGACATTAAGTTTTCTCTCCCCAGTCGGGAGATTATAGGGTTCAGATCTGAGTAACTGATCAAATGGAAAACCCCCCAGAGCGGCCTACCTGCCCAGCACTCCCCATAAGGACTCCAGATGACCACCTTTGTTCACAACACAGGGTTTCCAGTCAGCATATTAAGACCTCACCTTCAAGTATAAATGGACAGGCAAGGTTCACCCCAGGTGAGGAAAGCTGCCAGCAGGAACCCTGCTTGCTGAATGTGAAGAGGACTTGCAGCACTTACAGCAGAAGGTCAAAGACTACAGTCTTTAGCATGAATTACACCTCAACAGCAAAACAAAAATACAACTGGACCAGTCAGCACCATCATTACAAATGACTGAAGTTGTCAGGTTTCATTTAACTTGGATCCACAGTTATTAACACCCAAAGAAGCACCTTCAGTTTGCTTGACTCCACAATCAATACTCGTGATAACAACAGCCAGAAAATCAAAAGACGAATTGCATTGTGAAAATCAGCTGTCAAGGAAACTCTCCAAAGCAGTGAAGTGCACCTGATCCAGATACTGGTCGTTGCAATTACTTGCAATGCATCAGAAAGCTGGACAATGACTAGGGAGAATAGAAGGAGAATTGATGCCTGTGAGCTGTGGTGCTGGAGAAGATTGTTGAATATACCATGGACTGCTAGGAGAACAAACAGGTTTGTCCTGGAGAGGGTGAAACCAGGCTGGTCACTATGACTCAAGCGACTTGATGGCACATAACAATAACTGCAACAGAAGTAGCAGTCAAGAAGTCAAATGAGGAGCTCTGGTGGTCTAGTGGCAAGAAGCTGCACTGCAATCCCAAAGGCGCATAGTTCTAATCCACCAGATGCTCTGCTGGAGAAGGAGGGACAATTTCCTCCTGTACCTGTCAGATCCGATTTGACAGTGCGCGCGCGTGCACACACACACACACACACACACACACACACACACACTTTACAAATAAATTAAAGTGTTAAAGGGTAAGGACATTAATTTAAGCCTAAGGTGTCCCTGACCCAAGTCAGGGTATTTTCAATGACTTCATATGCATGTAAAAGATGGACAATGAACAAGGAAGACCAATGAAGAATTCATGCTTGTGAAATGCGAAGAATATTGACTATTCCACGGACAGCCAAAAGAACAGACGGAGCTGGTTTGGAAGTGGTGCAGCCAGGGCTCCTTAGAGGCGAGGACGGAGAGACTTTGTCTCACAGACTTTGGGCGTGCTGTCAGGAGGGCCAGTCCTTGGAGAAGAACATCATGTTTCGAAAAGTAGAGTCAGTGAAGAAGTGGAAGCACGAGGGATGGATCAACACAGCAAAGGCAGCCATGGACCGAAGTCCTGCAGAGATTGGGAGGATGGCACCGGACAGGGCAGGATGTCTCTCTGTTGTACATAGGGCCGATGCGGATTTGAACTTCCAAAGAGTCATCACCTTTGGTTTAGCAGTAGGACTCCCTACAGACTATGACATCAGGACTCCCACCTACAAATATCAGTTCCAGACAGACTGCAGATCTGCACTTCAAACTTAAAACAAGTCTTTTAAGAAAAACATGGGATCTTTGTGATCTTAGGAAAGATTTCTTAAACTGGACATAAAAGGTGTTAATTATTAAAAAAAAATTCTAGGGGAGCTCTGATGGCCTAGTGACAAGAAGCTGTGCTGCAATCCCAAAGGCACATGGTTCAAATCCAACCAGATGCTCCACTGGAGGAGGGGCAATCTCCTTCTGTGCCAGTCGGATCCGATTCAACGGTAAACAACGATGAAAGATTAAAAAAGAAAAAACAAATTATAATTTGGATTACATAAAAATTATTATAAGAACTTCTGTTTATCAAGCCAGTGAGAGAATGAAAAGGTTAAGGACAACATAGGAAATATATTCACAGTATTCATGGCTTTGAGCTGTAGTGCTGGAGAAGAGTATTGAATATACTATGAACTGCCAGGAAAACAAACAGGTTTTCATCCTGTAGAGGGTGAAACCAGGCTGCTCCTTGGAGGCAAGGATTCTGAAGCTCCTTCTGACATATTTTGGGCATGTTGGAAGGAGGGACCAGTCCTTGGAGAGGGATGTCATGCTTGGGAGCGTGGAGGGACAGCGCAGGAGGGGAAGATCCTGGATGAGATGGATTGACTCAGTGACTGGGGTAATGGGTGTGTCAGAGAAGATACAGTTGGCACAGGATAGAGCACTTAACAACAAAAATGTATCCACAAAAGGTTCTCATACCCAGAATATATAAAGACCTCTCAAATAAATAAGAAAATGACTACTCAAATTGGCAAAGTCTAACAGAAACTTCAGCAAAAAAGAACGAACGGAAGGATATGCTTATGACTCATAACCGTACGATAAAAGGCTCAACCGCCTTAGTCACCAGGGGAATGCACATGTAAATCAGTCAAATGTAAATTAAAACCACATGAGAAAAACATCAGTGGTTGTCTGAGAGTTGGTGTAGGAGGTCATTTTTGCAAACATACACTCGAGAACTTTCTGGGGTCAATGAAAATGTTCTAAACAGAACTGTGGTAATGACCACACAACAAATTAACTAAAAATAAGCAAACCAAACACTTACAATGGGCGGGCTCAGGGTACATAAATTATAATCTCACTAAAGCTATTAAAAAAAACCCCAGAGACCCAAGCAGGAGATTGCGTGGCACGTCCACGAGAATGCTGACAACAAGGAAAGAAACGCCACGTGTTGGTGAAGTTGTAGAACAAACGAAACTCCTTCTACACAGCCGACAGGAGTATAAACCGGCACAGCCAGCTGGACCAAGCCCGGAGAGCGGCCTAGTAACCATCTACTAACGTCGCCACTAACGCCCACCAAACGGCCTCCGAACTCCACGCCTGGGATGTGCCCTGTGCAAACATGTATGTCTTCCCCAAAAGACACACCCCAGCAAGCACATCTCCATTCATAATCGTCTCAATCTGGAAATTGTACAATCGGCGTCGCTGCCTCATCAAGCACAACTCATAGCAACCCCGTGAATGACGGCTATGAACTCAGTCCTATCCCGCACCATCCTCGTACCCCTGACACGTTTGAGTCTGTTGCCACAGACACTGACACTGAAGGTCTTCCTCTCCTTTGCTGACCCGACACCTTTCCAAGCATGATGTCCTTTTCCAAGAAATAGCATCTCCTCACATGTCCAAAATACGTGAGATAAAGCTTCCTCAATTTTGTCTCCAAAGAACATTCTGGTTGTACCTTCTCCTTGGCGAGCTCCGGTGGCCTAGTGGCAAGAAGCTGCACTGCAATCTCAGAGGTGCACGGTTCAAATCCACCAGATGCTCTGCTGAAGGAGGGACAATCTCCTCCTGTACCAGTCAGATTTGATTTGATGGTACACACACACAAAAATAATAAAATTTAAAAAAATCCAAAGACATATAGCTGTTTGTTCATTGACAGTTGTTGTTATGTGCCATTGAGTCCTTTGTGACTCATAGCGACCCTAGGTACAAGAGCCCTAAATGCCGTTCTATCCTGTGCCAGCCTCGCCATCTCAAATGCACTCATTTCCACCACTCCACTCACAGAATCGATACATCTCATTGAGGGTCTTCCCCTCTTGCGCCATCCCTCCACTCTCCCAAACATGATGTCCCTCTCCAAGGACCAGTCCCTCCTTGCAACATGCCCAAAGTATGTCAGATGAAACTTCAGAATCCTTGACTCCAAGGAGCATTCCGGCTTTACCCTCTCCAGGACAAACCTGTTTGTTCTCCTCGCAGTCCATGGTATATTCAACACTCTTCTCCAGCAGTAGAAAGGATAAATTAGGTATGATATGGGCATACCTTGGAGACATTGTGTGTTGGGTTCCAGACTACTCACAGTAGAATGAGTGTCACACCTTTCCAAAGACTTAGAAGAGTGGAGTTGACACTACATTGTGGTTTGTCGAGTATACAGTTGTGGTCGTGGTGTTAGGTGCTGTCGAGTTGAGCATGACTCATAGTGACCCTATGAACAAAAGATCTGAACCCAAAAGATCTGAACCCTGTTCTATCCTGCGCCATCCTCACACTTCCTGACACACAAGAGCCCACTGTGGCAGTCACCCTATCAGTCCATCTGGTTGAAGGCCTTCCACTTCTCCGACCCTCAGCATTATGAATTATTGTGAGAATTACCAAAATGTGACACAGATCCGTGAAGGAAACATGTGTTGCTGGAAAGAGGGTGCAACAGACTCATGTCATAGAGTTGCCAACCCAGACTCCACTGTCATCCAAGTGAAATCCAACCCGCAGAGAGCAGCCCTGGGGAACAGACAGGTAGGGCTGCCCCATAGGGCTCCAAGGTGGTGATGTTCACAGAGGCGGTGATGTTCACAGAAGTGGGCTGCCCTCACCCTTCTCCCTTGGGACTGGTGAAGGTAAGCTGCTAATCTTTTGGTCAGAAGTCCAGTGTTTAACCCACTGCGTCATCAGGGTTCTTACAGTTGCTGCAAACCTTCCATTTGTAAAAACCGCAGTATCTGTGACGCAAACTAGAGTGAAACGCTATAAAAGGAGTGATGTCTGTCTGCCCACACAATGAAATGCGACACAGTCATAGAAAATCTTTCCAGCCCAGAATCTTATACCTAGGTAAACTGTCACACATAAGGGTGGAATGGTGACTTTTATGAACGACACAGGGCTTCAAGCCACTTCTGTTTCATGCACGTTTTAAAGGAAGCCACTGAAATCATGTCTTCCATCAAAATGAAGGAGTGTGCCACGAAAGAGGAACTCAGAGGAGGGGGGAAACGAGAAGTTCAACATCGCTGGGACTTGCTGGCAGAAGTCCAAGAGCGCACAGGGTGGAGAGTGTTGCTATTGGGTGTTCCCAAGGAGGAAACAACACTGATGGCTGTTCTGATAGGCTCAAGCCTTTGGAAGAGACTCTTTTGCGTTTTGGTTGCCATCTTGGAGGGTTGAGTTAAGGAACACCCTCCACCGGGTCAGGCCACAGACCCACAGTAAAGAGGACCAGCCATCGGGAGAGCAGCCGCAGAGCCTCCTGGGGCAGCTGTTAATAGATGCAGGCAATTCACAGAGAGATAAACAGATACAAATACAGTGCTCATGAACTTCAAAGCGATTTGACCAAGGAAGGAAACATAAAAATAGATCCACGTCGTGGCTTCACTAAGAATACCGTTGTGTGGGTTACTATCTGCAGTCACAATCCTATTGTTTTAATGAGAAACTTAGGGTCTCCAGGTGTACAAATGGTTCGCACTTGATTGTTAGCTTAAAGGCTGGTGGTTCAAACCCACTCGGCGTACTGAAAAAGAAAAGGCCTAGTGATCTACTTCTGTTATGATTAAAGTCAGGAAAAGGCTCTGGAGCATTCTACTCTAACATACGGGTCGTTCGGCATTGGAATGAACCAGGGGGCACCCAACAGCAGGATTCTCTAAGCCAGCACGTTACTTTGAGAAAAAAAAAAATAGTTAAAAGAACAAGACGTAGAGATACAAGAAGGGAAGACACAGTGCTTAGAGGACCCCAGGCTTTGGCCGAGGGCATGGGGGAAGTCAGGAACATTATTAGTGAGGGCTGAACAGTAAGATGAGTGTATTTACATCCATGAACTGGACACATGAAGACTGAAAGGAGTTGAAATGGCAAGCGTTTCATTACCTATATATTTGCCATAGTAAAAACAAAACAACAAGAGGAATAAATGGCCTGTCATTGGTGGTTAACTGAAGACTGAGAGACAGGGATCACTGAGCCCTAGGGTGTCTCAGTCCCTGAGAAGGAGGAGGAAGTCCAGCACAGCCTGGAGCTGAGACGACAAAGGGGAGAATTCAGGGAGTCAAAACTAAAACCCACACCAAAGCCAGGGCCGGAGCCGGGTTCCACCCACCTCACCGCGACCCCCTAGGACAGAGTGGACTGCGCCTTAAGCCTCAGGTGCCCACCGCTGCAACCCTTAGGGAAGCAAACGCTCTCTCGGGGAGCATCAAACCCATTCGAAGCATCGAATCCCATTGGAACCATCAGGCTTTTCGGTAGCATTTGAGTGCATTACGCACAACACCACCAGATCTCCTTCAGGGAGTCTTGGGCACTTGGAATGCCCAGGGCAGTGCCAGAGTGAAGAAGGATGCTCAAGTGAACAGCAGTGGCTTCTCTGGAGCCTTTAGCTGGGTGCTGTGGACATGAGAAAGCCACCCAGCCTGGGGGACAAACTCTGGAAAGAAAATCATGGGGGTGAAAGTGGGAGACAAGCAGCAGAGCCCCATGGGGGCAGGGTGTGCAATGGGTGCACGCAGCATGATATCTGTTTCCCCACTTTGGGGATGGTGAGATGCAAGTGGCGGTGGTGAATGCCAGTCTCTGCTGCAAAGCACCCTCACAGCCTGCTCTCAGTCTGCGGGTCCAGTCTGCCTTCTCCAGGAAGCCTACCCTGGCTTCTCCCACCCGCGGGGGCAGCCCCACTGCCTACAATGATCTGGAGTCCCAGCTCCCTGAGATACCATGGAGACTTATCTCTGCCTGCCTTGACATCAGTCAGTCCCTGGGTCGCAAAATGACTCACTTGACTACTAGCTGAAAGAATGGAAGCTCAAAACCACCCAGCACGCCTCGGAAGAAAAGCCTGGCAACCTGCTTCTGCTTTGCAAGCCCTCTGCGCATAGTCCTACCCCAACACACATGGGCTGGGGATGGACGTGAGGACAAGCCACAACAGCACTGGCCCAGGCTCCAGCATAGCAGGGGCAGACTGCAGAAACAGGTCTCCTGACAGCAGACGGACGGACGGACAGGCAGGCCCTACCCCCTTCTGTCTTCCTGACCCACCTTAGGATCCAAGTCGAAGAAGCTGTAGTACTTAAAGCGTAGCCAGAGCATGTCCCCAGCCTTGATGCCCTGCTGCATGAGGCACCGCGAGGAGTCCAGCCACCTGGGGAGGCACAGGGGGTCAGGCAACATGGGGAACGGCGAGGAGGGAAGGGGCAGGTCGGGGAGCTGGGGCCACATGCGCACAGGAGAGGGACTGGGCAGGGGACAGAGGCCTGGAGGTGGCCTGCGGTCTGAGCTGGTGGGCACACCTGCTGTGGAGCTGGGTCTTGTCCAGCAGGGAGCTGGGCCGCGGCAGGCGCTGCAGCAGGAGCGGGTCAGGCGGCGGCTGCGGACGGCTCAGCATACGGTAGCAGGCCTCGGTCTGCTCGCTGTCTGAGAAGTGGGCTGGCATCCCCCGGAACAGCGCAGGGGCCACGCCTGGAGGGCAGGTGGGGTCAAGCAGGGCCCCCTAGCTGGCTCCGAGCTGGACCCGCTGCCCAGCCTCCCCCGCCCTGTGCTCACCCCCAGCCAGGACGACCTTGGACAAGTCATACACCTCCTCCTCCGGCTCCTTCTCCTTCTTCTTCTTCTCCTTCTTCTCGGGAGCCCGGAGCAGAGACAGCTCCTCGGGATGCCGGATACCTGAGGAGCTGAGGCCTCAGCAGGGCTAGTGTCTGCCCGGGGACCCCTGTCCTACCACAGGCGCCTGGGGGCTGGCTAGGTCCCCACAGGCAGGAAGGGGAAAGGAGAGTGAGGACACACTGCTCCCACTAGGGCCTGCTGCCGCCAGGGTTGGGGGACTGGAGAGGGGGGGGTCCGCTGGTCACTCACTGAGGAGGCGGCAGATGGCGGCCACGGCCTGGAAGAGGGGCTGGGAGAAGCTGGCACGCAGGCGCAGCACACGGCGGTTGGGCAGCCGTAGGATGACCGGGCGGTGTTGGGGTCCAAAGAAGAGGCGGGCGTCGGCCAGGATCCCATACTTGTCCAGCGTCCAGTGGGTCTGCAGCAGCCACGTCCTCTTCTGCTCCCACCAAATGGCGTGGTCGGACCAGTCCTGTTTGCGCTCTGTGGGGGTCACGGATGGGGTGCTGTGGGCACCGCTGGGGGGACCCTGTCTGGCTTCCTGACACTGTCTTGACAATGGGGACAGACTAGGCTCAGACACCTGTGTCGACCGCCCTGCAGTCCCCACTCAGGCCAAGTGCAAGGGTTACATTGGGTTGGTCTAGGGTCAAACGCCAAGGTCATGTGTCAGGCCCGGGCAAGGGGGCCAGGAGGGAGAACAAGAATGCAGACTTCAGACTGGATGGCCTTGCTTGCTGCTGATAAGGTGGACAAACGACCTTGCCAACCTTGCTGAGCCAACCATGGACCGTAAATTAAGAAATGAACTCCAACTCCCTTCTTCCTAAAGACCCATTATAAAAACCCCATCCCAACCCCCCGAGGTTGCTAATTCTCTGCTCTGTCCCTTCAGGACAGAGGATTCGCCCGGGAGCTCTGCTTGAATAAAGTTACAACTTTAAACCTCAACCTCTCTTTCGCTGACTTCTTGCAGGCACATAGCTATATAATGGCCAGGAGAGTGACTATTTGGGCACTAACCTTTAGTCCTGAGTGGCTATGCCCCTTCTCAGGGATCCCTCAACCAGAATCCAAGTGCCCCCACCCCCGTCTTAAGTGCTTTCCCCTCACACACTCCAGCTGACTGAGTACCCCCATACCGTGCACCTCCGGTTCTCCCCAACTTCTGTCTTCACTAGACTCTCTCCTGCACCCCAGGGTTCCGGGCACAGGGACTGGAACTCACTTCCCCCATATCCTCAGGGCCTGGGGCGCTCTGAGACTCCAGGGCTTACTGGCTCTGTGAACTTGGGCGAGCCTTGTCGTAACCTCTCTATGCCTCGATCTTGATTGTCAGGTGTGTGGAGGAGTATGTTTTCTGAGCCCGCAGGTGGAGGTGAAGGTTCACCCATTATTTACCGTGGAGACAGAACGAGGCTACCACACGGTGTTTGAGATGCACCGAGGCACCCAGCCTCCAGGACCAAACCCACTGCCACCGAGCCCCTTGTGGCTCACAGAGAGCCTGCAGGACAGAGCGGGGTACCCCAGAGGATGTAATCTCTACCGAAGCTGACTGCCACGTCTTCCTCCCAAGGAATTGCTAGAAGCTTCCAACGCTTTCTCCACTGCACCACCAGGGAAGCCTTACGTCATTTGTCATCCAGTCAGAAACTGGGGGCTCGGGGACCTGGCCTACTCACCTCTCCACCCTCCCTCAGGAACATGAACTGTGGGAGGGGAGTCCAGAGGCAAAAGACCACCAGCAGCTTCTCCTGACCACTAGCCACGCCCCTTCCTATTTCTCCCAGGCTTCCTTCTCTAAAGCCCTATTCCCATCGCCCACTCATCCCTCATCCTCTTCCTGCACCTTGTACTCTCCTCAACAAGGTGCCCAGTGTTAAACCCGAGAGAGTTTTCCCTCTCTATCTGCCTGCCCTAGAACCCTTCGTCCCTCCACTCTGTGCCCTGGCCGCCCTGGGCTCTGGGACGCCCACTTCCCCTTCTCCAACTCTTATCTCTTCTCTGGTCTCTCTGACCTCCTGTTCTCTCCTGCCCTCTGTGTGCCCTTTACCCTGTTCAGCCAGCAACTCTCTTCCCACTCTGCAACATGGATCTTTCTGGGGCTCTCAGCTGTAGCTTTCCAGATTGGGGACCTCCGGCGCAGACCCTTCCCTGAGCTCCAGGCCAGAAACTCCAGGCCACCACATGAAGGCCTGTTCCTGGCTCCCTTGATTCGAGAAGCTTCTGCCTTTGAGGGCCTGTGCAGACACTGGGGACAAAGGCTGAGACCACTGCTGTTGTGATGTGCCATTGAGTCACCTGCAACTCATAGTGACCCTAACTAAGTACAATAGCTCTGAAGCCTGCCCTGTCCTGAGCCAGTCTGGGACTCTGACTCACCTACTCCCATTACCCCAGTTACTGTGTCAATCCAACTCATCAGGGGTCTTCCTGTCTTGCACTGTCCCTTCACTCTTCTAAGCATGATGTCGGTCTCTAAAGACTGGTCCCCCCATCAACAAACGAATGGCTAGAGAAGCTGTGGTATATTCGCACAATGGAATACTATGCTGCATTGAAAAACAAGGAACTCATCCAATATTAT